TACCTCGAGGAATTTCTTCATATCTCCACTGGTTTGGTTGCAGCCAACCAGCAACTGACCATCCCCCTCCGGGCATTCACGTATCTCGGCATTCCTCCTTGCTACATACAAGCTTGAAGGGCCATCACCATCATTGACCTCCCTAGACTGCGAGCACCATGAAGCTCGGCTACCAGAGGACAAGCTGTTCGAGATCCATGCACCACTCGTGGGTACTATCAGCGAGCGCAGCATCGGCCAGCGTCAACTCGAGTCCCTCCTGGGGAAGCTCAGTTTTGATGCCCGAGTCATCGTTCCTGGACACACATTCATGCTTCATCTATGATAAGTGTGCCCTGAACTGTATCTGTGTATGTGAGTGTGGTGCGTAAAGCCCATCCTGAGAATGGGTTTGCCGGCCCCTTAGTAGATGCGTGCCTTCTGAAGAGGGTGATTATGGGCATCCAGCGATGCCATGGTCGGCTGTACTCACCCCTCGCCTACCTATCACTATGCCAATCCTACGACACTTGATGGATGCACACCGGAAAAGTAGTATCCTGAATGGCCATGACAAGCTGCTCTACCAAGCCGCCATACTGCTAGCGTTCTTTGGATTTCTTCTGTGTGCCAAATTCACTGATGGCATCACACGGGGCTGCACTAGCTCCCCGGGTGACGAACGCCTGCAACTCTTCCTGCTTTCATCCAAGACAGACGCATTCGGTATAGACGTTACCAGTGACATTCACCCGTCTTTACCGCAGTACCGCCCGGTCCGTGCCATGGTTAGCTACCCATGTGTCACTCGTCGCGAGGGACCGTAGCAACTCTTGTTCGTACTCTCGAACGGACAGCAGCTGACCAGGCAGTCATTCACAGTAATAGTACGGTCTCTTGTCGTTGCGGCCGGTGTACTTTGAGCTAACAGCAGCAGCTTTACTTTGAGCTAATCGCAGCTCTACTTTGAGCTTCAAACGAGTTGCTTTGAAGCCAGCACTCTGCAATTCAGAGATGACTCTTTCTTGACTTGTTTGTGTGAGGGATGGGGCTAACCAGCAACACGCAGAACCATAAACCATCCAGAATTTCGTGAAGAGCTTGCCAATGCCAACCTGGGCGTGCTCCAATCAACTTCCTCCAGTGATGAGATGTCGAGCACTTTGCACACTAAACTCATGAGTGTTCTTGACAGACGTGGCCCTCTAAAATCCACCAGCAGGAAAGCGAGCTCATATCCACCGTGGTCTGACAGGGAATTGTACCAAGTCCATTGTTGCAAGAACAGGCTACATCGCCAGTTGCGTCAGGACAAGGACAGCACCTAGATCTGCTTTGCATTCAGGCGTGCCCGTGCGGCTGCACGAAATGCTTATCGTAGGAAACGCAATGAGTATTTCCAAACCCAAAGTGTTAAACATAGTCGCAATCCACGCAAACTGTGGCATATCATCAACACTGCAACATCTCAAACTCGCCAACGTATTGAGCCAACGTGTGATGTGGAGGATGTTGCAACAGCCTTCAGTAAAGTTGTGACTGATGCTGATAGACCCCCTGTGCTCACCATGCCACAGGGTCAATCACACCCCACAGCCTTTTCAACCGTTCGGTATGTCTGAACCAACACTGTTTAGCGTCTCCTAAGAGGCATCAATGCAGCCAAGGCCACAGGCAGTGACAGCATCCCAGGAGTACTTCTGAAGTACTGTGCTGATATCATTGCTCCGTCTGTTGCTGCTCTCTTCAATGCCTCACTACCCCGTGGTACAGTACCCTCTGCCTTCAAGCTTGCACACATATCACCACTATATAAAGCTGGTGACCCAGCAGTTCCTACTCACTTT